CTTCTTGTACCAACAGAAAAAGACCTATGTGTCATTTTTAATGGCTGTGTAGTATTCTGTTTTATGTATCATTTCCTTAACTACTTCCCTGTGAATGCACATTTAAGTCATTTTCAGTTGCTGTGTTGGTATGAATGATGTTTTAATGAGTATTCCACTGTGCTTGCTTGTGAAAATGTCTTGACAAATGTCCCTGATCACATTGGATTGTAATTATCTGTGTGCCTTTCTTTCCCACAGACGATTATTGGTTCCCCAGGGCAAAAACCATTATTTCGCTTGGAATCTGCAGAGTGGCAATAGGAGCTTAATATATATTGTTGAAAGAAAGAAGGAATAAATGAATGGCTGTTTATATAGTTGGGTACACATGTATATCATCACACATGTCTTCAGTTTTTACTTAACTTTTCATTTGCCTAAAGGCCCAATATCTCTTAGGTATTATTCAATCCCCTGCTTGTTCCTAATCTCTCTTTACAGATGTCATTTCTACTGACATAAATTCAATATGTAGATTGAAGAATTAGGATGTGGCCAAAACCATGTCTCTTCCATAGATTGTGGTGGTCTCTGGAAGAGATTTTATCAATTCCAGTATAAAAAAAGAAAAAAAAAAAAAGAAAAAGAAAATACAAGACCTACCAGTTTTTGCCGACCCTAAGCAGAAATGGGTTGGTAAGACCAAAAGTGTCAATTACAAGGAAAAACACATGGCTTGTGTGTTGCATACTATTTACAGCTGTTGTCCATTACAGGTTCTCTAGAGTACTATTTGCTGCTACAACTGAATGGTTCCATAAGTTTAACTCATCAATATGACTGCAAAACTGTCTTAAATCACAAAGCAGAGGAGAGGAAAACCAACTAGAAATGGCTAAAATGCTGCTTATGTCTTCATGAGAGTCCACCGTTTTCCCCATTTGCTTCTTCAGGATGCTGGGACAGCCTATTAGGTCATGTGGTGTATTACAATATAGCAGATTATGAACCTGACTCTCCAAAGGAAAAAAACACACTGTGAGAGCTTGCATTTGACTCGTTGACAAATGTGCTGCATTGTACTGGGCATATCAGGCAATGGAAGCCAATCGGCCCAGACAATGAGAGTGTTCAGTTAGTGTCAAAAATTTACAAGCTCTTAAGCTATTTTTTATTTCTTCTTGCCAGGCTGGAAGCACTTAACTATTGTTGTCCAATATACTGCAAATGAACACAGTTCAAAAATCACAAAGACAGTGATATGGAATTATAGAACTGAAAATAGGATACTGATTGGGTACAAATTCATCAAGCCTCTTTATTTCTAAACAAGCTTTTCACTGGCGTGCCAACACAGCTTGCTTTGGAAGAGTGAAATTGACTATGATCAACCTATATAGTGGGAAAGTTGACCTCCAGTTAATTTCAATTGTGTTCAGCTGGCTAACTCTTTATTTCTTTTCCCACAACATGCTTATTTACAAAGTTTCTGTTAGTCAGCAATTAGTGTTCCATACAGATCACCTAATCTTCTATGGACTAAACTTTTTCTCCCCCTCCAAAAAAAAAAAATTTATGTGGATATCTTAATCCCCCAAATGATAGTATTAGAAGGTGGGGCCTTTGGGATTTGACTGGGTCACAAGGGTGATGGCCTAATGAAAGGGATTAGTGCCCTTATAAAAGAGGCCTGAGGGAGCTCAGTTGTTTCTTCCACATGTAAGGATGCAGAGAAAAGGCAGCCATGTAAGAACTGGAAAGTATACCTATACCTGCTGCAGGATCTCCTGGCTTAATCATAGACTTTTCAGTCTCCAAAACTGTTAAGACACAAATTTCTATAGATGGTAAGCCACATAGTCTATGGTATTCTTTTTCTATTCTCTTACAGCAGCCCCCAATCCATCACTCAATTTCTTCAAAAAATTCCATGACTGAGGTCAAAAATGGTGGTAGTAGAAGTTGAATCTTGACGATGTGGTTTATAAATTTGTTCTGTAATCAACTATGTCATACTGTCTCTGACTGGGAAAATGTATTATCTACAGTAATTTCAGAGGGTTTTTTTCCCACTAAAACACCAGTTTGGGCACGTTTTCCTCTTGCTGAAAAGCCACCACTGACTCCCTTTAAAAAGAATAATGGTTCTTAACTCCTCTTTTCTGAAAGTATATGTCAAATATTCTCACTACATTTTGCTCTCTTGCTCCCTTTTCCTCAATCTAGAAAGCCCATCTGAATTCATGCCATTCAGGGTAATGTTAATATAGGGATGGTTTTAACCCTGATCTTATACTTACATGTTAGGCTTGAGTAAAATGGAATGTAATGGAAACATGATCACAATGGGCTAGCCACGTATTAGTTTATGGTTCTCAAATACCCAGAAGTATTGAATGGCCATTAAAGGTGTGGTATTGCTGCTTAAGAAATTTGTCAAGTACCTTGGCTCTTTCTAACTTTTTTGGTCATTATTCTTAGCATGTGACTTTTATTTTCAAGTTGGTGTTCTCACCTGAAGACATCACATCTAGGTGCAAACACAAAGAACAGAAGACAGGACATGAAAACCAAATTGATGTCTGCCAGGTGAAACTGTCTCTTTTCATTAGTTTTCCCTTAACAAGTCACCTTGGGTTCACTTTTTTCTCTCCCTGGCCACAGCTGTGTTAAATGGCTACTTCTGCTTATAAGAGGATCCATGAAACTGAGTGTTTTAATCTGGACAAATTCCTTCCCCCACAAAATCAGGGCTTTGAAAATAAGAAGGGGAGAAAGGTTGTTGGGCAGACAACCAAGAGATAATAAGCAAACATTCACTCTCTCACTGGTAACTGATTCTGCCCTGTCTCCATTACTGATCAGAGGATACCAGAGAGTTGCTGACTCCATGGTTGAGGACAGGATAAAGTCCGAATCCCGAAGCAAACACATAAGAAGTGATCTTGCCGGTTTGATACCAGCCTACTTTTCTAAATTCATATTCCACCATCTTGAGTTCTTTTTTCAGCAATTTAACTTTATTTTTAAGTGCATTGAATTCTCCTCTGTGTTTCTTGAATGTGTCCTTTTTTTTTTCTTAGAAGACCCTTTTCACCTTCTCTATCTGGTAAATAATATTTACTTTGCAAGACCCAGTTCAAATACAAATTGTGTCTCTGGAAATGTCCTTAGTCTCTTCCAATATATATATTTTTTGTACCTTATATACACCTCCATTAGCTCACTTGTCATTATTTGCTTACATATTTGTCACTACTGACAAATGCTATGGCCTCTATAATGTATTCAACTTTTTCCGCTTAGTGCTTCCTGTAGTTACTGGAATATGCTCAAGACACCTGCATATGGGAAAACATAGCTGAAGTTTATTTCCAATGTATAGATGACCCACAGGAGCTAACGTGACCTGCTCTCACCATAGTAAAAATGCACTTACTTACACTCCCTAAATCTAGACCTCAGTGGATTCATGCTGTCAGCAGAAATATGGAAGAGATAGATAGTGTGGGGTTTTGTTTGTTTCAGTTCATGGTAATATAATTATTATATTATAACTGAATTATAATTTAGTAATTTAAAGTTTATTAAAGTAACTTAAATTTTATTTTTTGTCTTCTATTATCTGTTCTTTAGATCTGTAATTGAGAGTTGTTCAGTTTTCTCTTTCTTTATGCACAATTTGAGATGCTGTTTGTGGTCTCTAAAAGGATACTGTTCTTTAGTTTCCACATATAGGTGATATCATGCAGTATTCATGTTTCTGTGGCTAGCTTATTTCTCTTAATATAATGTCCTCCTGGCTCTTCCATGTTGCTGGAAATGACAGGATTTCATTCTGTTTTATGGTTGAATAGAGTTCCATCGTGTATGTGCCTGTGTATCTGGGTGTGATTATGTACTATATGTTACATCTTCTTTGTCCATTCATCTTTAGATGGGCCTTTAGGTTGATTTCACATCTTGCCTACTGGGAATAACATGGGAGTTGCAATAAACGTGATATGGGAATGCAGATATCACCTCAACATACTGATATTATTTCATTTGGATTAATATCCAGGAGTAGGATTGCTGGATCACATTGTTTATGAAACTTCCATACTGAGTAGAGTAGTGTTAACCAGAAGCTCGGGAGCATGGCAGGGAGGGAGAAGCAAGAGAGGAATGAAGTTACAGTTAGACAGGAGGAATAGGTGTTCATTTTACTAGTAAGGTACCATAGCAAATAACAACATAGTGTACATTTCAATATAAGCTAGAAGAGAAGATGTTGAATGTTATCCCTACAAAAAATAATAAATGTTTCAAGTGATAGATGTGGTAACTAACCTTGATTTTACCATTACACAATGTATATGTGCATTGAGACATCACATTGTATGCCATCAATATACATTCAATAATAAAATAAGGAAAATGTTACTGTGAAAGGGTAAGAAAAGATGTATTTTTTAACTTACAGTGATTTGAATGATATGGAAAGATATTACTAACTTTTAGACTGGGGTATTTATACTTAGCAAATATTTTGGACTTATTAGAGTAAGCTTAGGAGCAATAAGGAATTGGATGAGGATACCAAAGGAAATGAGAGTCAGAAACAAAAGCTACAAAATTGGACAAGGGGCATAGTAGAGATAGTGAATTCCTGTTGTGATGCCATTTCCTTTCCATTTCTTCCTTGAGTATGTGTGGATCAGACATCACTAATCAATTCCTTCCTTCTTTTAGTACATGGGGAACAGACATCACTAATCAATCAAAACACATTTTCCACCTCAGCTCAGATGTGGCCTCAGAATACATCAATAAGCTTTGAGTCTTTATACTCTCTGGAGTCTTGCAGACCATAGAAGAATGTGGAAAATGGGTAAATGTAGGTCATATGTGTATAAGAAGCAATCAACTTACTTGGATTTCATGCCAGTCAGTTGTATATCAGGTCCCATGAAGACTAACTTAACGGAAATGGGAAGTATATTAAGGTTTAATTGTCCATGTCCCTTTTTCTCCAGGTCATCGCCCATATCAGGTGATAACTGCCCGAGTTCATCCAGGAGAGAGCAATGCCAGCTGGGTGATGAAGGGGGCCTTGGAGTTCCTGGTCAGTGGTGACCCTGTGGCTCAGCTCCTGAGGGAAAACTTCATATTCAAGATCATCCCTATGCTCAACCCAGATGGTGTCATCAATGGCAAGTATGTCAACACCTGGCCCCTCCTAGCCTGTATTTATGATATGTTGTGGTGACCCTTTGTCATTTCACCCAGTGGGTGTGATAGGAGAGGTCTTGGTATTCTAGGAATAAATTCTCTTGATCTCCTGTCTTCTGATATAAATAACAACTGTTTATCAATATATTGATGGCAATCTCATGGTTTCTTTGAATAGAATGGTATAGAATCATAGGAAATTAATGTCAGAGGAAAGAATCTAGTCTAGCACTCTCTTTCTACAAAGGAGGAGATTGGTGTCCAGGATAATTAAATGACTTGCCCAAGTCATTTGGTAGGTTAATGGTGAAATCAGGGCTTAAACTGTGATTTATTCACAATTAAGACCAATGTTTATATTTACTTATTCATATTTACTACAGATAAATCTCTTTTATCAATTGTGTTTTACTGGATTCTGGATACAGTTATGAGAAGAATGTCACCCTAGCTAAATGGAATGTTGATTCACAAAGAGAAGACTGGGGTAGTTTGTCTTATCTGGTCCCTATAGGTCCCTTTTTATTGTATAATGGGAGAGAAGATGAGGTCAATTGGAGGGTCAGCATTCTCAGAGCTTGGGAGATGAGGCTCAGATGTCAGATGAGACCCCCAAGGTCACATGGCCCATGTATGGGAGAGGCAGGATGAGCATTCACAAAGACCTGTTTAAAATTTGTGGACAAAGAACAAAGCCTTTCCTATGGTAATAGGTGATTCTTTTTACTATAGATAAACACATGTATCCTTTTGGGGGGGCAGAATACAAGATAAAGTAAAAATAATAAAAGAAAAAAATAATTTAAAAAGCTACAAAGGAAAAATGTAGGTATAATTAAAAAAAATCAGCATTTAAGGAGTAAAAACACAAGTTTAGACAACTGAGGAAATAGAGCAATATTAAAACAGTGAAATGCAAGAAATGGAATGATAAATAGATGCTAAAAAAGGAAAAAACTTCAAGAGATTAAATTAAAATGACTTAAATAAATAATAATGATTTGAGAAAGATGAAATAGTAATTATTTTTTCCTTAAAGAGTAAATTAAATGTTAAAGAGCTGAGAACAGACCAGCTTCAAAGGCTAAGCACAAAACAAAGATAGATAAGTTAAAAAGGTTAAAAATATGAAGATGATAAAATATACAAAGAGGAACGGCATAAATTTCTAATGATGAACTGTGGTAAACTATGCTAAATGAAAGCAAATCAGAGCTACAGACTAAAAACAAAATTATAATAGATATACACATACAAGAAAAAGAAAAATAAATGAGGCTCCCAGGTGTTCCTAACAGGTCAGGCCATCCTAGCTCAGTAGTTCCCAGACACCATTTTTCTTTGCTCTGTGGAGATTGGGCACAGAGCAGAGACTCTTCTCTCTCTCTCTCTTTTTTTTTTTATATTGACTGGTTGTCCTTTAAGCACATGGGAAAGCTGGGAGGCTGGTCCTTCACTAAGAAGCATCACTCAGACCTCTGATAGTGATGAGGCTTCTCCAAACTCTACACGGCCTCATACCTGTAATCCTAGCACTCTGGTTGGCTGAGGTGGGAGAATCCCTTGAGCTAAGGAGTTCAAGACCAGCCTGAGCAAGAGGGAGGCCCCTGTCTCTATTTAAAATAGAAAAATTAGCCAGGTGTCATGATGGCATGTGCCTATAGTCCTAGCTACTAGGGCAGCTAAGGTGGGAGGATGTCTTGAGCCCAGGAGTTTGAGGTTGTGGTGAGCTATGAAGATGCCACTGCACTCTAGCCTGGGGGACAGAGAAAAACTATTTCTCAAAAAACTAAAAAATTAAGAAAATAATAATTAAAAAAACTCTTAAGTTGAATGAGGCACCAAAGCAGTGTTCTCCCTGGATAGACAGAACTCAGTGGGCTCCTGCTGTCTGTTCTTTAACTACAGAGAGAATCTCTGGGTCATCAGTGTCTGGCTTCTCCTGGTTGAGTGACCAAGGATTTCACTAGCATCTTTCTCAGCCTACATGAATAGAAAACAGCTAAGCAGGCCCTCTAGAGGGGCACGATCCCATTTCGACATTCTGTTGTACAATTGTCTGGGGTCTGATGGAGAATAGAAAGGGGCTGGAGGCCTAAATCTAGCTTGGAATTCTGGCTTTCCCAGGCCCTGCTCAGTTTTTCCTTCTGCCGGAAGAGGAAGACAATATGCTCACTGTTGACTTTTCTGGGAGAAGGTCTTACAAGCCCAAGGCAATATTCCAACTGAGGGATTAAGTATTGTAGTTTCTTGCATTTCAAATGCTCATACTTTCAGATCAGGGGCTACATCCAGGCCTCTGATGTAAAGCTTAATGTGGTCTTAGTCACTGGGTCTCCTGCTGGCCTGGACACACAGTATTTCCAGCTCACAGCTGGTTGTTACGGGCTCCCAAATGTCAGGCCAGCTTCTTCTCAGTGACACTGGCATTCATCATCATTACCATTATTTATTAGGACTAAAATTACTCTTTTCATTTACATAGCATCTTTTATCATGGAACTTAAGGCACCTGGATCATCCAAACAATTTTGGCTGAAAGGGGCTTGGAAATCATAGTGTTATTTTATTGACACACGTCACAGCACGTCATTGTGGAAAGACTTGAGATGCATAATATCTCACAATAAAAAGGCTTAAAAGTCTCAGCTCCTGAGCCCTCCTGTTAACTTATCTAACACACGGTTTCTCTGACTTCCACTTGAACTATTTCTGGGGTTGACATTTTGTTTCAGGGCATATTATCAGGCAGATTTGTGTTTTATTGTGTTTTGATCCTTGCCCTGTGAGCTTCATCCATTTTAGGCATTCTTCCTTTGGGGTATACCTTGTGGATAAAATCTAACACCCCCCCACCCCCTTGCACATGCCTGAACTTCCCCACGTGAAGTCTACCCAGCTTGTTTATATAACATTGTTCTTGATGTTCTCACATTTATTAGTGGTCTTTGAACACACTTTTATTAATAGGCTTGGTAAAGATGATAGAAATGGCCTGTATGTTATGGGACCAGCAAAGAGGTAATCCTTGCATAAGGATTGGAGAACCGAAATTTAACCTACAGGGTTGCACTTGTCTTTCACAAATGATCATGGGCTTCCATGGAGCTTGTAGGAATCCATAATTGTAGAGTAGTTCCTTAGGGTGGTGGTGATGGTGAGGGAGCCTCTGAGGATGGCTGGGAGGTTTTGATAACAGTGGCCTTGAGGACAAAGACAGGATTTTCTCGTAAAATACAGTGGGTGGTGCCAAGCCAAGGATCCTTTAGCAACATATTTCTGAACAAGAAAACAAAATAAAAAGATGGATAATTATGGTAAGTTCCAAAAGAAGCACGTTGCTGTCTTACTATCCTGGTTATATTATTTGGGGTGAGTTCTCACTGAATCAGGATTGGTTCCGTGCCTCCTGAACGCTTCTTGTTTTGTTTTTGTTTATGACACAGGGTCCATTCTGTTGCCTGGGGCTAGAGTGCAGTGCAACCTCAGTCTCCTTGGCTCAAGACACTATGAGGGGAGTTGGGCAAAGGGTGTTCAAACTCTCTTTGCTTTTCTTCCCTTATATTTGGAAGTGGGGAAAAAATTGTTATTCTGATCCAGAAGAGGTCTAAGAAACTATAATTTATCCCCAATCTAATTGCTGCCCTCACTGGAAAAAAGTAGGGATGAAAATCTCAGCTATTTGTAATGCTATGTTCCCAGATAGATAAAAAAAAAGGAAAAATTTATAGTAATATTTTAATCTCACTGTTTACAACTTAAAACAGTAAAAGATAGACACATTTAATTAAAAAAAAATCCAGAGGTAGCTGCTTTCTGCCTTTATTTCTTCCTTGCAAATGTGTTTTAGTAATTCTCAAATTCTTGTCTGTAGGCAATTGGCAGGGCATCCATGATGCTTTTTTAGACCGAGGAAGGAGGTAGAGAGACCTGTAAAGAAAGTGACATTTGTTTGCAACTGTCCAAACCTCTGTACATGCGCCACAGGAATGGTGTGGATGGAGAGAACATTTGAGGGCCCTGGTTCTGAAGGGAAATGTAACATACTGAATCTTGTCCATGAACTTGTTCATGGAGATCAAAACGGAAATGATTTGCTCTGGGAACTCTTAAGGTCCTGCTGCTAAGTCATTTGCATAGTGTTAAATGATGCATAGTGCTGGGGCCTGGCTCTGGGAGTGCAGTTCCCCAGGGCTCCCTCCACCACACCCCATCCTCACCACCGCCTGTACATGGAGAAGGAGCTGGGTGCATGAGGACTCCATTTGCCTTCCTCAGACATTGCAGCTCCAAATAAGTATTACTATTTATTATTCCCAAATTTAGGGTTATTAATTATATCAGCATAAACCTAATTTATGCCATCATAAACAGTGATAATAAATGCTGCCAAATGCTAATACCCAGCTCTTGCCAACTGTGCCTGTAGTTGATGGGTTTCCCCCTCACTTCCCAGAAGCATTAAATTAAAAATGATTCAGTGTTGCAGAATCATTGATCAAGTTGGGGCCGAGGCTCTTGGGGAAATGCACTTGTTTTGTTAAATGCTTTGCTCTTTCATTGGCTGAGCAACTTCTGATATTTGTCTGTATTCTGGTGTTTTTCCTTTCCTCCTCCTCCTCTGACCTTCCTATAGGAGGAAGAAATCTTGGGCAGGGATGCAGGGATGGGGGGGACATATATGAATGTCTATTCTTCTCTCTTAATTTCCCCTTCAGATATCTCTCTTCTTAGCATTTCCACCCTTCACACGTTCTTTCAGCATGTGCTTAGAAGTCTTTATAAAGCAAACCCTTGGATATTATATAGATTTGTTATTTCTTAATTCCCATCACATCTACCATGTACTTAGGCGTGAATGTTACAAATGCTACCGAATACACATGGAAGTCTGCGACTGGAGATTTGGAAGCACAGCCCTGATAAGCCCCACAAAAGCTGAGGATGCTTTTTCTTTTGTTAGTTACTCTGAGGATGCTCTGCCT